AGGAACTATACAAAGAATCAACAAAACCAGGAGCTGGTTCTTTGTGAAAATCAACAAGATAGACTAACCAGAGGGCACAGAGACAGTATCCAAATTAATAAAATCAGAATGGAAAAGGGAATCATAACAACAGAAACTGAGGAAATTCAAAATATCATCAGATCCTACTACAAAAGCCTATACTCAACCAAACTGGAAAATCTGGATGAAATGGACAATTTTCTAGACAGATACCAGGTACCAAAGTTAAATCAGGAGCAGATAAACCATCTAAATAGTCCTATAACCCCTAAGGAAATAGCAGCAGTCATTAAAAGTCTCCCCACCAAAAAAAGCACAGGACTAGATGGTTCTAGTGCAGAATTCTATCAGACCTTCAAGAAAGACCTAATACCAATTCTCTTGAAACTATTCCACAACATAGAAATAAAAGAAACTACCCAATTCATTCTATGAAGCCACAATTACTCTCATACCTAAACCACACAAAGACCCAACACTGAAAGAGAACTTCAGATCAATCTCCCTTATGAACATCGATGCAAAAATATTCAATAAAATTCTGGAAAATCAAATCCAGGAATACATCAAAACAATCATTTATCATGATCAAATAGGCTTTATCCCCGGAATGCAGGGATGGTTCAATATTTGGAAACCCATCAATGTAATCCACTATATAAACAAACTCAAAGAGAAAAACCACATGATCATCTCACTAGATGCTGAGAAAGCATTTGACAAAATTCAACATCCCTTCATGGTAAAAGTCCTGGAAAGATAAGGAATTCAAGGCCCATAGTAAAAGCAATTTACAGCAAACCAGTAGCCAGCATCAAACTAAATGGAGAGAAACTTAAATCAGGGACTAGACAAGGCTGTCCACGCTCTCCCTACCTATTGAATATAGTACTGGATGTCCTAGCCAGGGCAATTAGACAACAAAAGGGGGACAAAGGAATGCAAATAAGAAAGGAGGAAGTCAAAATATCACTATTTGCAGATGATATGATAGCATACTTAAGTGACCCCAAAGCGTCCACCAGAGAGCTCCTAAACCGGATAAACAACTTCAACAAAGTGGGTGGATATAAAATTAATTTGAACAAATCAGTAGCCTTCCTCTACTCAAAGGATAAGCAGACTGAGAAAGAAATTAAGGAAATGACATCCTTCACAATAGTCACAAATAATATAAAATATCTTGGTGTGAATTTAATCAAGCAAGTGAAAGACCTGTATGACAAGAACTTCAAGTCTCTGAAGAAAGAAATTGAAGATCTCAGAAGATGGAAACCCATGGTCAAGGATTGGCAGAATTAATATAGTAAAAATGGCCATCTTGCTGAAAGCAATCTATAGATTCAATGTAATCCCTAACAAAATTACAACTCAATTCTTCATAGAGATAGAAAGAACAATTTGCAAATTCATTTGGAATAACAAAAAACCCATAATATCAAAAACTATTCTCAATAACCAAAGAACTTCTGGGCGATCATCATCCATGACCTAAAGCTGTACTACAGAGAATAGTGATAAAAACTGCATGGTATTGGTACAGAGACAGGCAGGAAGATCAATGCAATAGAATTGAAGATCCAGATATGAACCCACACACCTATGGTCACTTGATCTTTGACAAAGGAGCTAAAACCGTCCAGTGGAAAAAGGACAGCATTTTCAAAAAATAGTGCTGGTTCAACTGGAGGTCAGCATGTAGAAGAACGCAAATCGAAACATTCTTATCTCCTTGTACAAAGCTCAAGTCCAAGTGGATAAAGGACCTTCACATAAAACCAGATACACTGAAACTAATAGAAGAGAAGGTGGGGAAGAGCCTTGAATACCTAGGCACAGGGGAAAAGTTCCTGAACAGAACACCAATGGCTTATGCTCTAAGATGAAGAATTGACAAATGGGACCTCATAAAATTGCAAAGCTTCTGTAAGGCAAAGGACACAGTCAATGGGACAAAACAGCAACCAACAGATTGGGAAAAGATCTTTACCAATCCTACATCTGATAGAGGGCTAATATCCAATATATACAAAGAACTCAAGAAATCAGACTCCAGACAACCAAATAACCCTACTAAAAATGGGGTATAGAGCTAAACAAAGAATTTTCAACGGAGGAAGCTCGAATGGCTGAGAAGCACCTAAAAAAATGTTCAACAAGCCAGGCAGTGATGAAACACGCCTTTAGTCCCAGCACTCGGGAAGCAGAGGCAGGCAGATTTCTGAGTTCAAGGCCAGCCTGGTCTACAGAGTGAGTTCCAGGACAGCCAAGGCTACACAGAGAAACCCTGTCTCAAAAACAAATAAACAAACAAACAGACAAATGAACAAAAAAGAAATGTTCAACATCCTTAGTCATCAGAGAAATGCAAATCAAAACAACCCTGAGATTCTACCTCACACCAGTCGGAATGGCTAAGATCAAAAACTCAGGTGATAGTAGATGCTGTTGAGGATGTGGAGAAAGAGGAACACTCCTCCATTGTTGGTGGGATTGCAAGCTGATGCAACCATTCTTGAAATCAGTCTGGCAGTTCCTCAGAAAATTGGACATAGCATTACCTGAGGACCCAGCTATACCACTCCTGGGCATAGAAGATGCTCCAACATATAACAAGGACACATGCTCCACTATGTTCATAGCAGCCTTATTTATAATAGCCAGAAGCTGAAAAGAAACCAGATGTCCTTCAACAGAAGAGTGGATACAGAAAATCTGGTACATTTACACAATGGAGTACTATTCAGCTATTAAAAACAATAAATTCATGAAGTTCTTAGGCAAATGGATGGAACTAGAAAATATCATCCTGAGTGAGGCAACCCAATCACAAAAGAACACACATGGTATGCACTCACTGATAAGTGCATATTAGCCCAAAAGCCCACAATAACCAAGATACAACTCACAGACCACATGAAGCTCATGCAGAAGGAAGACCAAAGTGTGGGTGCTTCAGTCCTTCTTAGAAGGAGTAGCAAAATACTCATGGGAGCAAACATCGAGACAAAATGTGGGACAGAAACTGAAGGAGGGATCATCTAGAGAGACTGCTCCACTTGAGTATCCATCCCAGGTGCAGTCATCAAAGGCAGACATTGATGTGAATACCAGGAAGTGTATGCTGACTTGAGCCTGATATAGCTGTCTCCTTGGAGGTCTGCCAGAGCCTGACATATACAGAGGCAGATAGATGCTCACAGCTAACCATTAAACTGATCATAGGGTTCCCAATGGAGAAGTTAAAAAGAAAACTGAAGGCGCTGAAGGGGTTTTTGGCCTCATGGGGAGAGCAACAATACCAACCAACCAGAGCTCCCAGGGTCTAAACCACTAGCCTGGGAGCACATAGGGAAGGACCCATGGCTCCAGCTGTATATGTAGGGAAGGATGGCCTTGTCGGGCATAGGTAAGAGAGGAAGTCCTTGGTCCCATGAAGGTTGGATGTCACAGTGTAGGGGAATTCGAAGGCGGGGAAGTGGGAGTGAGTGGGTGGGTGGGGGCACATCCTCACAGAGGCAGGAGGAAGGGGGATGGGATAGGAAGTTCCTGGGGTGGGGGAATGGGGAAAGGGGATAACATCTGAAATGTAAATAAAATATCCAATAAATTTTTTTTTTAGCCGGGCAGTGGTGGTGCACGCCTTTAATCCTAGATTAAAGGCAGAGGCAGGCGGATTTCTGAGTTCAAGGCCAGCCTGGTCTACAGAGTGAGTTACAGAACAGCCAGGACTACACAGAGAAACCCTGTCTCGAAAAACCAAAAAAAAAAAAAAATTAAAGAAGGAAGAATAGTATTCTATTGTATATATGTCCAACACTTTACCCACTCATTGATGGACAGCGGTTATTTCCAGTTTTCAATTATTAGAAATGGCTCTAGCCAGAATGTGTCCTCTTAATTTCTTATGCTGGAATCTACCTACTATTAATATAGAGTTAGGATGTTGGAACTTTGGGAGGTGATTACGTCATGCTAGCCATCTGTAGTCTTTATAAAGTTGACCACAGAGAATTTCCTCCTCATTCTGTTGAGTGCAGTAGCAGTGAAATGACAGCTGTCTGGCAAACAAAGAAGCCAGTTTCCACTTGACACACAACCCAATTACAGCTCAGGCTACACAGACACTAGGACTGTGTGTAATAGGTCACCTAGCCCACAGTATTTGTCACCACTGCCTAAGTGCTAAGACAGTGTCAGCACTTTTAAGTTGAGGTTTATAACATCTGGTCTTGTGATTTTTCTTCCCAGTGTTATGAAGAGAACTGACTGTTTTCTATAACCTGAATTCTCCTCAGCCTCAGCGGTTTCAGAGGAAAGTCGTAACTTTGACGCTGCACTTCCGTGAATACATGAGTTGACTAGTTAAGCTTTGTTGACCCATATTTTAGCTTCCTCATTTTAATGTGTGTGTTTGTATGTACATGTCTGTATATGTGTGTGTATTTGTGTGTATGTGAGCATGTATGTATATGTGTGTCTATGTATGTGTGGCTATGTGGCTATGTGTGTATGTGAGTATGTATGTGTCTTTGTGTGTCTCTCCCTGCTTGTGTGTATGTGTGTGTGGAGTTGGCTATCTCCCTCCACTATGGATTTGGGGAGCAGACTCAGGTGATAGGCTTGCATAGCAAGCAATTTTGACTGCTAAGCCATCTCACTAATCCCTTAAAGTTTCTCTAATATAATGTTTCCACCATGATTAAATATGAATGCACACACACACACACACACACACACACACACACACACGCTCAAATGATAACAGACCATTAGCTGATGCAATACTTCCAGAATAACTTTGAGAGGTGAAGTCTTGTGTTGAAACATGGTACACAAGTGCTTTTCAGATAATCGGGTCCAAAGGGCACATCCCTGCTGGGTTCCCTGACCTATGCTGTGCTTGTGTTTGAAACTGGCATCATTTCAAAAACCAAAGGTGTATTTGATGTGTCAGGGGACACAGTCAAAGTCTGCCTCTTCTCCAGCAGTCCATAATATCTGACAGGGCTCTCTGTGGAGCTCTGCTCAGACACGTCTATTGGGAGAACAGACCCCAAGGGAGAGGGCAGTGCAGAGTCATGAACCTGGTCCTGGAGCTTCTCCTGCTGGTAGGCATCATCATCTACTCCTACCTGGAGTCACTGGTAAAGTTCTTCATTCCCCGGAGAAGGAAATCTGTGGCCGGACAAACTGTTCTCATCACAGGGGCCGGACACGGAATAGGCAGGCTGACTGCTTACGAATTTGCAAAGCGAAAAAGCAGGTTGGTCCTGTGGGATATTAATAAGGTAATAATACATGTTTCTGACAATCTTTTAAAGTCACAAAATAATAAGGCATATGTTTCTCTAATTACCTGACTTAATGCTGGCTTTTCTTTGTGTTTTCCTTTTCAAAGTTTTAATAAACTCCTGGAGGCTTTCTAGATCCCTTCGACAGGTGAACTAGATGGAACCAATGCACTGGAGAACTAAGGTTGGGGGGGTTGTTTGTTGTTTTGTTTGTTTGTTTGTTTGTTTCTACCATGGTGTACAACTTGATAACAAGAGATGCAGGAGTCAGGAAGCTTCCCAGCTGCTGTAGTTAGGCAAGCCACATAACTTACTTCAACTTTACTTTAAAAAAAAAAATCTCTACAATTGGGATAAGATCTCAGAGGGAGACAAAACATCCAGGTAACTATTGCCAGCAACCAAATTGGCCAACATACAATTTATTAAAGCTAGGGATGACTTTATGCTTTCAGATTTTTATTTATCAGATAGTCATTTGTCCCTTTCTGCTATAGAAACTGAAACTGGGGTTTAGTCCATGCCAGGCAAGCACTCTACCACCGAGCCACAGCTACAGCTCAAAGTTTTACACATTTGAAGGATTCTCAAGATAAAAACCACATAAAGAACTTACAGTAGAAACCCATGGTACCTTCACTCACACTCCAGCAATCCTAAAATATTTATATCTGACCTTTAGCAGAAAAAAAAAAAAAGACTTGCCGGGTCCTTAGCAAGAAGAGTAAATAAAGAGAGCAATACTCTAAGTGATTAACGTGGCCTGTCACTTGTGCAGCATCACATATGGTAATGGATACATAGGCTGGGCCATTTATGAAGCTGTTGCCCTCCTGTATATTTATAAATGCTGTTAACTACCCTTAAGTCTGAAGGCATTGACGTCTTGTGTCACTTTCTCCTAAATGTGCACATTCCCACAAGGCAGTGAAAATATGTGCCACAAGAAACTGTCTCTGGGATTGTAATCTTTGAAGAACTGGACTGGGGATACGCCCCGGTGGTACAGCAATTATCTAGCTCATACAAGCTAGATATTAGATCCAGCTGTGGCTGGGTTTGAGTCCCAGCACTACAAGGAAATCAAAAACAAATTTCTGGACTGACATGTACCAGATACAGCGGCTCAGACTGGAGAAACGTGGGGTGTTTGTTTGTTTGTTTGTTTGCTAAGAAGCAGTTTCCAAAGGGGTTTGGCTTGGCTTCAGGTAACTTTTTTATGTTCTTTGCCATCTGCAGTTAGCACTCAGTTTTCCCGGCCTTCAGAATGTTCGTGAATATAAGGCACTAAATTCCCTTTGGTTCATTTTGAGCAGCGAAGAATCCCAAGATGCAGAAACTAAAGAGAGGCAGATACAGGCATTTGTGGGCAAGATGAGCTAATATGGTACATGGAGATGGTTCTGAGATTAGCAAATCCCGCAGAGGTCCCAGGCAGTCTTCTTGGAGTTGAGAAAACTGAGTCTGCTATTCTCAGACCCTTGTAAAAAATATAAACAAGAATACATCATGAAGAGGCTTCATGGATCTTTCAGATCACCTCCCAAGTGTGCGTGGTGGGAAGACATCAATACTTAACTTAGTATACTTCCTTTAATTTGAAAATCTTCAGACACAGAAACAGTAAAGCTAGAAAGAGATCACATTAAAGATGACTTCCACTTTTGGGAGTGGCGGGGGAGGGGGGACTGAAAACTGAGTAACTCATCTTGTAAATTCTCTTTGAAGTCTTGGATTTCATGATTAAGCATTTAAGACATCAAATGATTGGCTGTAAAGCTGCAAGTGTAACTCTGGTTTCCCTGTTCACAGAGGGGCCAGCTAGCGTTCCATCAAAGCTGGCTCCTTTTCCTTATAGGTGAAAAGCAAGACCACAGAGAAGCCCCTGGCTTTAAAAACAGTGATACAGAGGCATGAAATACAGCTGTTAGGGAGGGAGGGGGGGTCTGCAGGAAGGTAACGGGGAATAAAATAATAAGAGCATACACATGTATGCAAGGAACGAAAAGCAAATTTAAGAACGCAATGACACCTCTCGGTCTTGGTGCCATCTTCCTTGAGACTCCTGCGCCATAAGAGTGAAGTGGCAGAAGAAGAGAAGGCGCAGGCTGAAGCGCAAGAGAAGAAAGATGAGGCAGAGGTCCAAGTAGAACCCAGCTTGTGCACTCACAAAGCCTGCGGGAGCAGAAGTGGGGGATGCCGAAGGCTCGGGACAGTGGGAACAAGCTGTTGGGACTGTATGCTGCTGTCAGTACTAAGTCTCTGTAGACCTGGAATGTCAACCTCACCAAGATCACCTGGGAAAATGACTGCCTTTCTTACAACCAAAACCAGTCCCACTGGCCCTCTGCCCCGGACCTCTGGCATTCTGGACTAGTTCTGCTCTCTCTTGTGACCGAGTGTAACTCTTGTCCAATAAACCCTCTTGCTGTCAGCTGAAGAATAAAAAAAAAAAAAAAAAAAAGAACACAATGACAAAATAGAAAAATTGTGGGCCCAGCCTAGGTGTGCACCCATAGATGTGGATTAGAACACACACACATACACAGAGGAAGGACATCGTTCAGTCTGTTGGAAGAGTGAGATCATTCTGTTTGCAAGATAATGGGCGAAACTTGACGTCAGGTTAGGTAAAAAGGAGCCAGACTCACAAAGAGAAGGATATGGTGGGGGGGTGGGGGGGGACACGCAGCGGGGGGGGGGGGGGGAGGATTATGAGGGCATGGTCACTCTGCTCTGGTCATAGCACTGGAGGAACTAAGACAAGTTAGATGCCAGCCCTGGCTACAGGTAGAATTATTAAGAGACCAAAGAGAGTAGGAGAAGACAGCAAGCATGGGCTCTGTCATGCCTCGTGTGGGGGAATGCCATCATGGAACATACTAGTTTGTACATTAATAAAAAGGACACAGGGATTAGCAATGCACAGAGACGTTGATATCCCAGAAGGTGCTTCCTGTGCAAAGGTAACAAAGAGCTACATTCTGCTGTGCTCCAGATTAATTATAAAACTGGACTGTTTGCAAGTTACTCGCATCTATTACTCAGACTCCATACTGGGTTTCACTGTAAGCTGTCATAGGCACGTATATTCTGATCATATTCACTGTTCTCCGTCGTTATCTCTGGTCCCCTCCCACTCTTGCTGATCCCCTTTCTCACTGTCCTCTTGTACTTTCATGTCTTTCCTACGTGTGTAAACTGATGAGTTTAGTTAGTTTTGCTAACTTGAGCTTAGATGAGGGCTTATTACAGGAGTACGGACAGCTTGCTGGTGGTTGTGCTACTGAAGAAAATAACACTGTCATATTGTTTCTTCTTCAGTCAAATCCTTTGTTTGATTCTCTGGTTACTGCCTCTCTCTACAGCTCTCAAGTCTGTATGAGACTTGTGAGGAGGGCAGCTGGGCCAGCTGGCAGTAAGCAGCCTTCATTAGTGGAAATGAAGCCAACATTAGCAGAAAACTCTCCTGCCCAGACCACAGCTCAATTTCACAGCCCCATGAAGACTATGGCTCTATGCGGCAGCCCACCCCAAATCTATGTGAAGGGACAGGTGGTTTTGTAGTGACACCCTAATTCTCCTTAAAGTCTGTTCTTTGAGACTTCTATCATTGCTTTGTGGTTTAGCCAAGGCAGGGAAATGCAAAGGGGATTAAGGGAGGCAACCAGGGTAAGCCAAACCCACCATCCACTCAGGGACAGCTGACATGATTGCTATCCCAGCATGCTTCCTGGGCATCCTCACTCTTCATCACAGAGAAATGGGGACAACAGTGAGAGGAAAAACTTGATTTTCAAAAACAATTTGAACCACATAATATTCCCTATAAAATCAGTAAGTGTCAAAACTTGGAAAGAATCCAAATTTTCGTGAAATGTAGGTCAAAAAAAAAAAAAGCCAAGTGTGGTGACTCACACCTGTAATTCCAACATTCAGGATGTTGAGGCAGGATTGGCTTGAGTTGTCGACCCACTTGGGGTACACATAGTAAGGAAGGGATAGAGAATAACAACTGGTCTAAAACAACATGAGAGAACACACACACACACACACACCACATTAGGACAATCTTAGGTAAGAGGCCTCTGAATTTAGGCTAAAAATAAGCTGTCTCCATGTCTTGGAGGACTTGTGTGTAATTCTCACCTTAGTGGGAACTCAACCATTGGTTCTTGGCCTTTCCCTCCCCTAAAGCTCCAAAAGAATAAATACCCAGTTAAGACTGTCATGTGTAGTAACAGTTTCCCTGTGGAAGCTTTTCTCGGATACGATTCTCTCCTTGCACCAGGAGAGTGAATCCAAGTTGCTAGTAGGAGCCATCTAGAGTCACCGCTGGACTGCTGCTCAGCACCTTACTGCCCGCAACGGGTATTGCTCTGCAACTGTGTGCCAGCTGGAACAAGTGGACCAGTCTTCCTTTTGTCCTCCATGCTCAGACTTCTTCCCTGCCGCTGTGAGGCGCGGCATCTTCCAGGACTTATGGGATGCCTTTCATGCTAAGACAGAGTCTAGACAAATCACCTACAGGCACGCCCAGCAGGCCAAGATGAGAAACTGCAAAAGCCTTAACCGGAAGGGTTTGTTTCTCCTTGCCTCCGCAGCTGCTTTGGCAGTATAATTAGTCAATGTAATTAGATATTGAGTTCACGTTAGGAGACTTATTGGACAAGGATTTTAAAGTATTTTAAAGAGCCTGATCTTTTCTCTAATTTGCCTTCCCCCTCCTCTGCCCTAGCGTGGTGTTGAGGAAACAGCGGCCAAATGCAGGAAGCTGGGAGCAATTGTGCACGTGTTTGTGGTGGACTGCAGCAACCGGGCAGAGATTTACAGCTCTGTGGATCAGGTGAGAACCGGGATGCAGGTGTCTGCATATAACCGTACGCATCAGCTAACTTTGAGCTGGGAAACAAAAAGATTGTCTGGGGCTACTTGACTTCCGGTAAACGTCAGCTGCTCAGTCAAGTTGCTGTGTGACAGAAGGAGAACAAATATAGAACTTTCTTGATATTAATATCCACTCATCTCTGGCCTCTGTCACTGTTTCATATTCAGAATCAAATCTGCAGTGACCAAAAAGTTTGGCCCAGAGGGAACGAAAGATGAATTATCAGCAGAAAATTTGATCTCTTTTCTAACTTTTTTAAAATTAGATTTTGTTCTGCTTTTTCTTTAACTTATCTCGTCTCTGACATTTTATTGGTTTGTGTATAGTCTAGTCTTTTATGAAAAACATAGTTAATGACTTTTTAAACATTTTTTTTATTTACTGCATGGGTGTGTGCGTCTGTGTATGCATGGAGTGGGGGTTACACACACCCCACAATGTGTATGTGGAATTCAGATGACAACTGTTGAAAGTAGGTCTCTCCTTCCATGATGTGGATCCTGGAATTGTTAGGTCTGGAAAAAAAAAAAAAGCTTTTACCCACTGAGCCATCCCCTCACCCACTATACCCATTATTTTAAAAAGTAAACACTGGGTACTTACAAAAACCTCAACCCTCTGATAAGCTACTGCCTTCTTTAATCTGATTTAATTTTTTAAAGTCCCATTATCCTCACTACAGATAAGCAAATAAAAACTTGGAAGGTTTGGGCCAGATGAAGATCACGTGACCAGTGGGTAGCAAAACTAAGATTAATTACTTAACACTTTAAAAATATTTCATCAGAACATAAGTATTATTTACCAGCACAAACATTAATTCTTGTTTTTTTAAGCTCATAAACTTTCACACTGCCTATTACATACTGGGCACAGAATTGAAGGTTTTAGCCAAAACAGTTTAGAGTTCCCTCATGATAGGTCACTTCTTGTCACTCAACTGGTTCGTTCACATCTGAACTCTGAGACCTCATGTACTGGAATAACAGAAGCCTAGATTGCATTGTGACCAGGCTAGCTGTCGCCAAAGCCAGTGAGCACAGACAGAAACTGCATCTTAAAGCTGTTCTTTATTCTCAGAAGACGGGTTGATATCTTAGATATCTGTCTTCCGTGTCATCTCAGCCAGTGACCTGTGATGTCTGTGCATCTCCTGTTATCATCCCTTGGACCACTCCCTCATTTTGTGTTATTGGGCTCAGGCATTTTTTGGAGTTGAATTGGCCTAGTTTGTGCTGGCATCCACCTTAGACTCCTTGGGCTAGGGGTAGGGTATGAAGTGGTTAGCTCAGAGCACAGTGTGGAATTGCTAAACTATAAATAGTGTGTATGCTCTGGTTCCTTTTTACGTGGTGGAGAGTGTATCCTTATAATATAGAATATAAAAACACCTCTATCCATCTGTCCTCTATCAATATGAGCTTTGTGAGAATGACCTACCCTGTATGTGCATTCTCTACATTTTAAAAGGTAAAGAAAGAAGTAGGTGACATCGAGATCGTGGTAAACAACGCTGGGGCAATATACCCAGCAGATCTTCTTAGTGCCAAGGATGAGGAGATCACCAAGACCTTTGAGGTCAACATTCTAGGACATTTTTGGGTGAGTAAGTCAGAAACATTTCTGTGTGTATGTGTGTGTCTGACATCTCTTCAATACAAGAAACTCATTGAGTTCATAATATTGGTGGGAGGTGAAGTTTTTTTTAAGACTTGTTTATCTTTATTTTATGTATGTGAGTGCCACTGTAGCTGTCTTCAGACACACCAGAAGAGGGCATCAGATCACATTACAGATGGTTGTGAGCCACCATGTGGTTGCTGGGAATTGAACTCAGGACCTCTGGAAGAGCAGGCAGTGCTCTTAACCACTGAACAATCTCTCCAGCCCTGCTTTTTGTTTTGTTTTGTTTTGTTTTGTTTTGTTTTGTTTTGTTTAAGTCAAGAATCTTGTAAAGTATTTGAGTAGAAGAGCCACAGGTCTCTGGCAGCACGGTTCAGAGTTCAAGAGGACACAGGACACCCCAAAGAGAGAGCCATTTGGGTTTTTTGTCAAACAAAATCTAATATAGGGCCTGGCATATACCAGGTCTACAAATATATATATATTTGTAAAGGTTTGCTGAGATTTCTTCTGTACATCTTTCCAATATTTTAGAGGAAATGTATGTTGCATACATCTGTCTGTGTCTTCCTTTCATAGGTGTTTAGAGCTGAAAGGACATAGAATAACTACTCAGATGTGTGCAGAAGTTGGGGATACTTTGGGTTAGGCTCTAAGATAAGTAGACATTTTGACATAACATAGTCATCTACAAAGTTCTTGCCTGAGAAATTCACAATCAAGCTACCAAAAGGGGGAAGAATCTCAAAATGTTTTATGTCAATTCACAAGTTTGCATTGGTCTGTATTCATAGCTAATCTCAGTTATAAGCAGCCTGTGGAATGAACAAGCCTGCTAGATCAGTGGAATTCTGGAGCATAAAGAGATGAGTTAGATTTCTTACTATTGGTTGTTTGTGAGAAACTGAAGTATCCTTCTCAACCCTCTGGAGGGAGCATTTATATGAATTAGTGCTGCAGGGCTTGATAATTACTATAGCACCTGGAGAAAACCTAGATTTCAAGAGCGTTCGTCAGTCCCTCATGGCCTGGCTAACATGCCAGTCATATGACACAGAGACCCTGTATTTTAGTTATCTAATAATTAATGGGAAATTATAGCTATGTCACAAAATATATCAAAAGGTAGAGGTTTAGAGAGCCAGGAACTCTCATCACCTCCACACAGATCTGCAGGCAGGGCTGGCAGGGGGATTGGCTTGGCAATCTGGGCTCTAGGAATTTACATAGAATTTGAGGAGTGAGTCTGTAAAATTCTTATAAAATGTTCTGATATTTTGCACTGTACAGTGAGGCTTTATTTGGAAACAAAAAAATCTTTTGTTTCCCATAATGTATCCTATAACGTATAGTGTTACAAGAAAGAGATTTGAGTCTGCTCTCTATGCATGGTGGCTGTGGGCCAGGATAGAACTTCAACTGCTTTGTTGTGAGTACAGATTCCCATTCTTCAAACTGGGCCCAAGAATTTGTAAAACTGTAAATCATCCTTCAATTCCTGCATCTGTGGATCTCTCTCTTGACAGTATCTCTCAGAGCTCAGCAGCACCGGGTTTGCCTTCTATGCACAAAGCCCTCCTGGGTTAATCCCTAGCACTGTGAAAAATAACAATGTTGATTATGTGGCAAATCCAGGAAGGAACTAGCAATTTCATTCCTCCAGAAGGGAAGAAGGGGCAGCAAGCTAGCACAGATCCTCAGCACGATCTAGGGAACACTCTGAGTACTGCCCGGAACCATCACGGTTACTCTCCCTTTCTGTCTGTGTGAAAGGAACCTCAGAGTCTTGCAAGTGTGTGATTTCCAATGCCTCCTCTTCCAGTTAGGTAGAGGCATTGGAAATGAAGCTGCCTGGCCTGGAATCAGCCTAATACCCATGTCATTGTTTCTTTCCTTTTCACTTGGACCTTAAGATCATAAAAGCGCTCCTTCCATCCATGCTGAGAAGAAACTCTGGCCACATTGTCACAGTGGCTTCAGTGTGCGGCCATGGAGTGATTCCTTATCTCATCCCATATTGGTAGGTATTGCATGCTCACAGCACTGTGCATTTCTGCTTATTAGTTTGGAGATTATTTATAGGAAATTATTATAGGGATTATTATAATTAATGTATTTATGTGTTTATAAATATAATTTTATAAATATATATTTATAAATGTATTCATATATTATATAATTAAATAATTATAGGGATTATTATAGGAATTAATTATAGAGAATAATTAGGGATTATTAGTCTTCAGGCCTCAGTGCCCACAACTTGGTAATTTGGAAATAGGCAATTTACATAATACATTAGGATAATTTTTAAATGACTTCTAAAACAAGGACACTGGCTCTAATTTTATTTAGAATGTTTTAGGGTTCTGAGAACTCCCCCATAGAGTATGTTTCCATTATATCCTAGAATGAGTAGATGTTGAGACAAGAAACACAGTGGAAAGCAAAGTGCCCAAAGGCTAACACAGCACAGAGGCGTAGGGTTGCCTATGTGCATTCATGTGGGACAGAAGAAAATGGAGAAGCTCTGCCTTCCCAGGAGATACACACACTGCACACCGTGTCCTGGGGACACAGATACACTCGACCTCTGCAGCACATCCCTGTGAAGTCTGCTTTTGGCATCTTGTTTCCATACTTCTGCTATACAAGATAATCTCAGAAACAATTTTACCAAGATCTGTGGATGTAGCAGATGCATGTATTATTTCTTTACAGGCATATTCAAAGCTAAACTTGGTCATAGACCAAACAATCTCTCACACTATACATGGTCACAGGTGAGTCAAATTTCAATGTAGTTCAGGTTTTCATTACATACACACGTACACACATACATGGGGCGGGGGTGAAAAGGAGAAAGAGACAGAGATAACTTCTAACACTCTCACACTCTCACACTAAATATGGTCACAGATGAGTTAAATTTCAATGTACTTCAGGTTTCCATTGTACACACACAGAGTAGAGGGAGACAGAGAGAGAGGGGGGGGAGAGAGAGAGAGAGAAAGAGAGAGGCTAACACTGATACATTTCTTGTCACCTGGACAAAAACTACAATTAAAACTTGTATAGATCCTTGTAGATAATAAGTTACCATCCATATGCTAATTTATTGAATACCCCAAGACAACCTTATATTTTGTTATCTACATTTTATAATCCAAAAAACAAAAAAATCAAAAGGTTACAAACACAACCCTACCAACACCATCAGGAGCCCTTTCACTCTAAATATTCATAATGACATTAGGAAACCAATGAGGCTTCTGACGCCAAGAGAGAAACATCAACCCACTAATCAAGAGAGGAGAAATGAGCACAGTCCCACAAAACTTTGCCAATGTTTGTTTCATAGAGTTTTAAGTATCTTTTTCTGACTCACATTTTTAAAGATAAAAACTAATAAAACCTGATTAAGAAGCCTTTGGAAGGTTGACTGGACCATAGAAAAGGTCACATATACAGTGGAAAGCATTAAGCCCATCTGTAAAGTGGTCCTTTTGCTATCTTTGCTAGTTAGAAATTAGAAACAGGGGCTTGGGGGTTAGCAATGGTTGACTACATGCTCACCATGTGTCAATCTCTGAGTTCAATCCCCAGCACCCCAAAAGATAAAAGAGACAGGTATTGTGCATGTTCAGAATTGTGCTTAATACATAAGAAAATAAAACTGAATGATCATTTGCCCTCTCAGAAAAACTAGAGTAGCAGGTTGGGACAAACGAAGCTGTTTTCTCACAGGCAGCAGAGACTGTCCCCACTTCTTTGCTGATGGCTTATTTTCTCACAGCTCCAGCAAGTTCGCTGCTGTGGGCTTCCACAGAGCACTGACTGCAGAACTCGACACCTTGGGGAAAACTGGTATCAAAACCTCATGTCTCTGCCCTGTGTTCGTGAATACTGGCTTCACCAAAAACCCGAGTACAAGGTGAGATGGAAAGCAGCGGTTCTAACCTTTAAGCTGGAGCCCTCCCAGAGGATGGAGCCTTGAGTCAGTCATAGGAACTTAACAAGTGCATCACACTCATTTAAGTAAATCCAGTGGCACTATCTCAACCCCTAGTTACTTTCCTATGTAGGACAGTGGGGCCCATTAAAATCCTGGCAAGTGCTCAGCGTGGGGTCTGATGCGCTTTGTCAGGAATACCATCTACCCAGGGGAAGATGCTATGAAAAGTAAGAACATGGTTAGGTTGGCCACAAGCCGGGAGCAATCATAGCTGCAGACATGGCAAAGCCCAGGGCTCAGGACCCTGAATCTTCCCTCCCCACTGAGGCAGACATTGAGGTACTCATGTCAGATGTGGCTCTAAGGCTGGATTGAAGACTCCATTGCAAAATTAGGAAGGGAAGAGACAGAGCCAGGATAATCTAGAAAGTATTGATTTGTCCTGTTGCATGATGGGTTTGCTAGTCTGCATCACAGGCTCCTCAATCACACATGAGTCTTTGGAAACCACAGACGATCTCATGAGATTCAATTCCAACACCCACACAACCATGCCTAGGCATGCTAACCTTGGTGTGACACCTAAAATCCATTTTTATGCTTTGATTTTTCTCTTGTCTTCATTAATGGTCAAGACTCCAACACTGGACAAAGGTTATAAGCATTTCTCAATGACACACGTGTGCGACCTTTGAATCAAGAAATGCCAACTACCAGTTGTAGTAGAGCACTCCTTATACAAACCTTAAATTCCCATAAAACTGCAAGAGAAGCAAATCCTAAGTACTAAGCACCTCAAAGCAATTCAACTCTATGGATACCCACACATGACAGGAAGTGTACTCAGACATAAAGGATTCTCTTAACACCCAACAGGCGTGGGAAATCTGGTGTTTCCTTCCTGGGCCCTGAGTGATGCTATGCACGCCATTTTGTTCCCTGGCTCCTCGGTCCTTCCCCACCTTGTACCTTGTTGTGATTTAATTATTTTGACCTGGTGAGGTAACAGACAGACCGACTGGACCCAAGAGCATAAGAACGTGATAACAAGATGTCCGTGTGGGATGTGTGAAGGGGGAAAGGTGACATTCACGCAGGGAAGCCTGGAACATTTTAAATCCTAATTCTAAATTTGATGAAGAGACAGGATAATTTCCTTCGTTTGTTAATTTAAAACAATATAAATTGAGAGGCTGGGCTTTTTTCCTCAATGGCAGACTACATGCTTAGTATGTGTAAAAGTTCTGGGTTCAATTCCAGCATCCAAAGGAAGAAACGAAATGTAAATGGAGATAAACTCTTTCCCCCTTTCCTTCAGGTTGTGGCCTGTATTAGAGCCAGATGAAGTTGCAAGGAGTCTGATAGATGGAATACTTACCAACAAGAAAATGATCTTCGTTCCATCCTATATCAATATCTCTCTGATACTGGAAAAGTAAGTGCAGTGCAAAACTCTGAATCCCTCAAACACAAATAGAAATGTTAGTATGGAAACTCCCCACAGCCTCAGTGAAAATTATGTTTTCCATGTCACCACCTCACTCTTGATCCCTTGATTCTCCGGTGCCCTTTGTGCAATACATCTACCATCTCAGCCCAGATTTTGTTCAAGTCTATTCAACTGAAGGAAAGATAGTTTTAAAAGTACAGGGTATGGGGATATCATACAGGCTCTGTGTGTGTATTCATGTGTATGTGGGTGATATAGATGTGGTGCTTGTGGAGGCTAGAGGCAAACCTCTCAGGAACCAACTAGGATTTCTGATTTGGGTTTATTCCTTTCCTTTCCTTTCCTTTCCTTTCCTTTCCTTTCCTTTCCTTT